GGGACCCCTAACCAAGATACTCAGAGCTAGTATAGCCCTGAAACATGTCCCTAGTGTGTGGAATGAGACTAGGATAGTATTCATTCCCAAGCCGGGAAAAACCGGTTATATAAAACCAAAAGACTTCCGTCCTATAAGCCTCACATCCTTCATCCTGAAGACCCTGGAGAGGCTGGTGGATAGACACATCAAGGCCGGGCCCTTGGCTGACAGACCCCTCTCCCCCTGTCAATATGCATACAGAGAGGGAAGATCAACAGATACCACCTTACATCACCTGGTGGGACTGATTGAGGGACAACTGGCAGTCAAGCGTTTTACCATAGGCGCCTTTCTGGATATGGAGGGGGCTTTTGATAGCACTTCGAATCCGGCTATAGAAAAAGCCATGGAAGAACGACAGGTGTCCAAGACTATCTNCTCTCTACAAGACTCATCTTCTTCGCCTTTGCACAAGTTTCACTGGCGTGGGTTTCGTCACAAAAAAGACAGTTGACTGGGGCCGAAGTACTTTTTGTTGCCAGTAGACTGGCTGCGGTGGCCACTGGCTTCGATTCATCTTTCGTCTTCTTTTTTAGTTTGTCTCTATTGTCGTTTGCTTCTTTCTTGGATCCAGCATTCAAACCGAAACCCTCGATGGCCATGGAAATCCTCTGTTCCGCTTCTACCTCAGCCTCCAAAAAATCCATAAATTTGTCGAGTCTGGCTTTGGTGTCTGGAATGTCTAGAGTCGTTGAGTGCCTTTGCCAGGCTCTGAGCAGCTCCTCTGGGAGAGATGATTCCACCAGTGGGTACAGCATTGCTGCACACATATCTGTCGTGACTCCCAAGGACTCTAGCGCTCTCAGATGCGTCTTCAATTTATCGTATGTACTCGAGAGTTTGCTTTGATGGGAACCAGGGACTGCTTTGTGGAGCACTAGCAACAACAACTCTCTAACATACATTTCTATGAGCAATTCTTTCTTACCGTAACGGTTTGTCAAATCCTCTACAGCCTTGTCGTAGTTCTCTGCTGTAGGGGGGAAACTGTTGACGAGATCAGCTGCACCAGAGCCTTCCTCCATTGCCTGTGCAAGGTAGCGAAACTTTTGTTCTTTGGTAATCGTAACGTCTTCGTGAATGGGCCTAAATAGACCCCAGAACAAAAGCCAGTGTTTCAGCTGTCCACTAAATTTGGGAGGGTCAATCTTGGGTAGCTTGATGCGTTTGTTGTCCAGTACCGAGTGATTCGTCGAGGAGAGGTTATGTGGTTGAGGGCCCTGTTGAGATGTCGACTCTGCTGGGGGTTCCAAGAGTGCTGAAACTCTGAGCTTTACGTGATGATATTTCAGCTTGTACTCATCTTGGGACTCAATCTCATTGCCCAGTAACTCTTCTGACACATTTTCCTCGTACAACAAGTTGATGAACCTCTGGTCACCGTCCTCCAACTCACTGGTCTTCTCTTTCAAAAGCATGAACAGTGCGTTGACTTGTTCTTTATCTGGCTGTTCAGCTTGCAGTTGGGTTAGGAGGTGATTGTACGTACGTGTAAACGCCGTTCGTAACATAGCACGTGTTTTTTTTGCTTTATCCATTACTCTGACCCCGGTATCCGAAGGATGTCCTGTCACGGTCGCCAAGTGTTATGACGGGTCAGAGTAGTAACATATTGATAACACAGTAATTTTATTTAATTGAACATTTATTGAAAATGTGACTATTATATTATACGAAAAACGGTTGATATAGGCGTGGTAGCCATTATTTTTACTAACAATAAAACGGGGTTCTCAAATATAGGGAAAAGGATTATTCCCTAGCACTCTCATGGCGCTCAATTCCCCATAGATTTGAAATTATTCTCTTCCTAACACCGTGTTTGGATAATCGAGACTTCTGAGTTAGGGTTTATTGGGTATTTGTTGAGGCGAAAGAAAAATCATTACACAGTAGCTTTGATATTTCCATTTATTTGCCTTGAAAATACAGATAGATCCAACAAAAGTTCATTTTTTACAAAAACATATAAAAATCGAATTTTTTCTTAGACCTCCCATAATTCTGTGAGGAAAGATCGTAATCGGACGTTTTAGCTCTCAATTGTAAGCTTACTGAATAAGCTTCACGACGGACATGAGATTACCGCTAGTAACAAATCCGAAAGCCGTCAATTCAGGACAAAATGCTAAAAAAATAGGAAATTTCCATTTTGTGACAGGCGAAATTCGACACATAATCACCCATAACAATTGATTAAATGGATGGAATGACAAGAAGGGGCGTCATGTTAAAGAACTCGTTGAGATCTTCAAAATGGTGCATGATAAAACTTCATTTGTTATGCCCAAAGGTCCGATAATCGATGAAAACAGCGAATTTTAGGGTGTGATATGACGTTCAAAAGGGAAACAGTGTCCAATAACTTCATGAAAATTCAGCCAAATCGCATTCAATACATCACAATTTGAATAATAAATAATATCCTACTAGATGATCTACCAATATTTTGATTGCTTCAACTCGAAAGAATGGAAAAATCCAGTCAAAGTTGATTTTTCGAATAAACCATAAAAAAATTAATTTCTGCCAAAAACTCTCATAACTCGATGAAAAATGGTCGGAATTGAACAATTCACCTCCCAATTTCAAGGCAA